AGGGACAATAATCTTGGGTAAAGCCAGGCCTCCCACTGGCATTACCCCCAGCAGACAAGAGCCAGAGGGGAAGAAATAAGAGCACAGAAGTTGGTGGGTTCTGTCCTCAGGGACCTCAAGTGGTTTCTGAGATCTGATAGCAATAGGGCCCCACCCCAACATCCTGGGTAGAGCCTCAGAAAGGAGACCCGGGCCCAGAAAGAGGAAATGACTGCTGAGGGTAACCTCTTTTGGAGGCAGTTGGAACCCTGACAGCGTCACACGCTCTCTCGCTACCCGAGAACGATTCCTATGTGTGCAAGACTAACCTGGGAGTAGCAGAGACACCAGACCCAAAGAAGCCATGCAAGCAGGAACCAGGCAGTAGACATCTCAGTGGATACCCGGCTGTCCATTTAAGAACAAGGACCACTTCCTCTAGTGCTCTGGCAAATACATATAGGACACTCTCCCAAGATTCAGGCAATCCTTTGGAGAAAGGAGGGGCTACTCCTTCAACCGTCTGAAACTAAGTGTCCACCACTCCCAGTAGAAATGTAGGCATATTACAGAAAAACAACATTATGTTTCCTGCATCTCTGAGCTGGTAGACTAAGATAATCCCTCTCTAAGAATTAGGGGGGGGAATAGTTGGAAACCAGCAAATGTCCGGCTAGGAAATTGGATAGAGGACGCCCTCCACAGATGTAGGGAATGAAGGGATGGGAGCAAACTGAGTGGAGAATGATGAGTTGAAGGTTTGGATGTGTTGAGGGTGAGATGTTGATGGGGTATCCACAGGTATGTCAGGAGGCAGCCAGATAATGAGGACTGGTGCTTAGGAAGGAGGTCTACCTGAAACTATGGGTTGTGGCGTCATGGGGTCCACACATGCAGCAGCTGATGGGTGAGTAGCGGATCACGGTGAACTCATGTGCTCACTACTGCTAAGTTTTTTCACGCATATTTAACTCATTTAATCCTCAAGGCAACCCCACGGGGCAGGTCTTCCTACTAACCTCATTTTTTGACATGTGACGAAACAGATAATCAATGTTTCAGGCCTCAGAGCGAGTAACCAGAGGAATCAGAGGTCACCGCAGGAAATCTACAATCTGCACATAGGACAACCACATGCTATAAGCTAGACTAGAAGCAAAGAGGAGAAAGGAGCTGTCAGGAGGAAAACCAGAAAAGCCTTATATCACAAAACCCAAACGAAGAGAGGACTTCAAGGAGCAAATGGTGGGAGGCACCAAATTTCCAAGAGATCCAGTAACTGATTATAATTAAACAGGCCCACTAGGATTGCACATGGGAGCTCGTGAGCTCGTAATGCCCAGGGGAGGGAGGTGTCCTGACATCTGGGAGGGAGAAGACTCGTGGGCACTGCATGGGCCGGGAGGTGGGGAAATATGGGGAGCATGACTCTTCCAAGAGAGCTGTGAAGAGGAGAGGGCTAGAATCTGCGTCGAACACGTTCATTTCTAAAAGGAGAACAATTTAAGAGACTATTCTACAGCGAAGGGGAAGTCAGTAGAAGATGAAAGTTTTAAAGATACAGGCCTCGGAAGCTGTGACAGTGACTGTGAGCATGAAGAGAAAGAACACTGGAGACACCTTCAATCCCTGACTTTAACCTCACACGGGCCCTGGATGCTGACAACCACACTGTACTTCCACAGTCGGGCCGCTGTCCCGCTCTCTGGCACCGTGGTTCTGAGGGCTGTCCGCCCGCAGCTTCTGCAGCACCCAGAAACTTGTCAGAGATGCAAGTTCTCCCGCCCACCCCAGACCTCCGGGATCAGAAAGTCTGGGCGGGGCTTTAACAGACTCTCTAGATGATTCTGTTACACACTCACGTGAGAACCAGTGCCCTCGACAACTCGTGTATAACTCCTCCTCTCTCTTTAAATGTCCACACCCTCCCACTTCATCCTCACTCTCAGCTCACCTTGCCTCCTATTTCACTGAGAGAAAGAGACCATCAGGAAAGAGTGCCCTCTCCCTTCCACCACATCCATCCTCCTCCCTGCATCCAGGCCCTGCATGGTGCCTTCTGTCTTTGAACTTTGGATGGAAGCTTTGTGCCCTGGCTTCTGTACTGGATTCTCTCCCTTCCCACCGCCTCAAGGACGTTGCTCGGGCTCTTCTCTCTCCCCCACATCACCAGTGCTTGCTCTCCACTGGCTCTTTCTCATCAGCATACAAACATACGGTTATTTTTCCCATTTAAAAATGTCTCTTGGGGCACCTGGGTGGCTCAGTCGTTAAGCGTCTGCCTTCAGCTCAGGTCGTGATCCCAGGGGCCTGGGATCGAGCCCCGCATCGGGCTCCCTGCTCAGCGGGAAGCCTGCTTCTCCCTCTCCCACTCCCCCTGCTTGTGTTCCCTCTTTCGCTGTGTCTCTGTCAAATAAATAAGATCTTCAAAAAAATAAATAAATAAAAATAATAAAAGTTTCTTGACCTCACTTCTCCTTTTCCTTCCCACCCAACCTCTCTCCTTCCTTTACCACAAAACTCCTCCAAAGAGTTGCCCACACTGTACCCCATCCCTCTCCTCCCATTCTTCCTTGAGCCGATCCACAGACTTTCACCCCACCACTCCACCAAAACCTTTCTTGTCAAGGTCACCAACGCCCTTGGAAATCAATTCCCAGACTCGTGTTACTTAATCCATATACAGCATTTGACACAACAGATCTTTCTCTCCTCCATGGTAACTTTCCTTCTTTGGGCTTCCGGTGTAACACCATCCCTCAGATTTTTTTTTCTCTACTTCATAGCCATTTCTCAGTCTCTTTGATGGTTCCTACTCAATTCTAAAGCCATTTAATGTCAGAGAGCTTCAGGATTCAGTCCTGGCACCTCTCTATTTTTCCTCTCTTAGTGACTTTCGTGGCTATAAACAATACCCACATGTCAATGACTCTCAATTCTTTATCTGCAACGCAGACCCTGCAAAACTTGTACATCCAACCACTTTCTTGACAACTTGACACGCCTAATAGATACCTCAAACTTAATATGTATTAAACCAAGCTCCTGCCCTCCCCCCACCCCACCTTCTACAGTTAATGTTCAAACCAAGAATTCCTCCCTTTCTCTCATGCCCGCCACCTCACCCATCAGAAAACATTGGCTCTACGTTCCAAATACATCCAGAACCCAACCACTCCTCACCACCCTCCTGCTACCTACCACACTGACACCACCATCTCTCACCAGATCATTTTAGTGACATCCTAAATGGGCTCTTGCTTCTACTCTGGCTCAGATGTGTTCTCATACATCAGCTGAAAGGATTCTGTTACAACAAAAGTCAGATCCATGTCCATCCTCTGCTCAAAATGTTCCAATGGCTCCCATCTCAGAGTAAAAGTGGAAGTCATCAAAATGGCCTTAGGGTCCTACGTGGTGCAATCCCTGCCCGCTCTCATCGACCTCATCTCTCACGCTCCCTCTCTTCACTCCAGCCACACCGACTCTTTTGCTCTTCCTCAAAAATGGCAAGTGTGACGGGGCGCCTGGGTGGCTCAGTTGGTAAAGCGACTGCCTTCAGTTCAGGTCATGATCCTGGGGTCCTGGGATGGAGCCCCGCATCAGGCTCCCTGCTCCGCGGGAAGCCTGCTTCTCCCTCTCCCACTCCCCCTGCTTGTGTTCGCTCTCATGCTCTCTCTCTCTCTCTCTCAATTACATAAACTGTTAAAAAAAAATGGCAAGTGTGTTTTCACCTTACCACAACCTTTGCATTTACAGTCCCCTTCTGCCTAGAACATTCTTCCTAGCTAGATAGCCAGATGATTCACTCCTTCACCTCCTTCAGTTCACTCAAATGTCATCTCGTTGAGACCATCTCTGATGACACCTTATACACTCTGTATCCCCCCCGTTTTATCTGCTTCCATAGCTCCTACTGCCATCTAACATACTAGAGATTTCACTTATTTTGTTATTGTCCTCTGCTTCTCCTAGAATGCACACTCCTTGAAGGCAAAAGTTTTGCCTGTTTTGTTCACTGCTGTTTCCCCTGTGCCTAGAAGAGTACCAAGTACATGCAACAGCTATCCATAAAATGTGATGGAATGAGGGCCCCAAGGGAGTATGAAGAGTTGAGATGAGAAGGGATTCATCTTGGACAAGAAGAGGGAAGCCTCCTCTTTCACTGCCCCGGAGCAGAGGTAAGAACGGACTCAGATAGGTTTGAAGGCAGAAATTTAAGTATTTCCCTCCTGGTTGGCCACAGTTTCTCTGGGACATAGAAGACAAGGAAGGACTTGAGGAGAGTGGAGATGGACAGCTTTGGCAGCCCTGGAGAACGGGGGAAGGAGCTGAGGACACTTCGAAGGACCAACAATCCGGGTGAAATTGAAAACCTGGGTTTGCCTTGGCACAAATCTACCTGGCTGTGCGATTTTCTTCAACACCATGGGCTATACAACGAACGGGAGCGTCAAAGTTGTCTCTCGGCTTTTTCTTGAAAAAGTAAAAAGACTCCCCTCCACTACCGGAGTGCCTCTGTTTACCCACTCAGGGCGCCATCACTAATCATCACCAACCACTGGTTCCGTGTTAGCAAAATGAGCAGAGGGTGTGTTTAAGAGGAGAAAAAAGGAGAGGCAGAAGAACAGGCCCCCTCCCAGACCCGTGGGAAGGAGCCGGACCATTTAGCCTTCCCTCAAACCTGGAAATTGATATATATATATATATATATACCCTAGGGCTCAAATTCTGAGCCTCCTCCCCAACCCCTCCTCGTCCCCAGTACCTTCCCCGCTGTCCCCGTCCTGCCACATACCGGTCCACTTCTTGTCGCGCTCCACCCCCTCTGAGCTCGCGCGCTTTTCCTCCACGTGCTTCTCTGTATATACCGGTCGCCTGGGAGACCCCGGCCGGGCGGGGCTCTCCTGACGCCACAAGAGGAACAAGCCAATAGCCGTGACGCGTCTCAGTGACGCGAGACGCGCGGCGTGGCTTTGCCGGCCGGGGCGCAATGAGGCGGCTGCCCGCTGGGTGGCGCCGATTTCCCGGGGAGGTCCTTACCGGGTCCCCGGCGGAGGTGGGGGAGAGGCGGGGCAGGAGCCGAGGCCAGGGAGCCCTCTGCGTCAGCTGCTGCTCACCGCGCCGCGCCAGTACCAGCCGGGACTCACCCGCAGCTCCATGCTTGTGCCCGGCTCCGCTCGTCCATCCTCGGAGAAGAGGCAGGTACGTGCCACCTGTCGGAGACTAGGGAGGCGGGATGTGGAGGTCAGCGCCGTTGTTGGCTCAGAAAGTGAGGTGTCAACGACAGCCTGGGTAGAATGGGCACCAGACATGTAAAGCGAGCGCCAACTGTGCGGAGGAGCTCCAGCTGTGGGTGCCAGTTGTGGGGGGGGGGCTGCCAGCTGACAGCCCAGGGTGCCAGGAAGAGCCATCTGTGTGCTGATCAGTGCGTTCTAAGGAAATGCTGCTTGGGCAGGTCCGCGTCTCTGTGCCCTGCGCGGTATATGGCCTAAGAGTGACGCCTGGACACTGACAACCCCTTCCCCACGTTTGCGTCTGGTTCACTTACTCCGCCCTGTTAAAGCTCCTGGGGGCTGTCTCTGGTCAGTTTGCCAAAGGGGTGAGGGTGGGGGGAGGGCAGCAGTTAAGTGGAAGGGGAGATTTTCCACCAATCCCAAACCAGAAGGAGGCATCTTTGAAATTCTCACCAATCCCAAACCAGAAGCAGGCACGCGGTGCTCCAGGACGAGTAACTTCTACTTAACAGGCAGGGCAAGCCCTTGGCCAACCCATTCTACCTGTCCTCTGAGGAGTGAATGTCTGCCTCCCAATCCGGCTGCTTTTAGAATGGGGCTGAGCTGGAGATCGTGGTGATGTTCAACCTCCCCAGGCGTGTTCATGAGAAGGTTCCCCCAAGTCCAACCCTGTAAACTGGAGGAAAGGAGAGCTGGTTGGGCTGGGGTTGGGGCATCCCCCACTCCTTTGATACTGTAGATGCCCGCCAAACTGGAGTCGGAATGAGGACTGGAATGAGGGCCGGGGACGAGGGCGTCCTCTGAAGTGCATCACCGGGACCCAAGCTGAGTCAGTAGCTTCTGCTGAGACAGGGTGGAGGCACCATCCTGGGTACTCCCAGTCCTCAGGGAGAGCCATCGAGAAACAGGAGACACAGACTGGGAGCAGACAAGAGCACCAAGGCCCAAGAGGTTAAGAATCCTGCTCCGTCCTCCTGTGAGCCTGCCCAGCCCAGCTCTGTGGCCTTGGAATCCTGAGCACTCTGACAGGTAGAGTGGAACCACCCCAGAGCACCTTTCTCCTGGTTGCCTCGGGCAGCTGGGCTTGCTATATTTTGCTAGGCAAAGGGGGAAGGAGCCAAAATAGGCCTGGCCCTTCTCCACTGGATGGGCTGGACCTCTGGGAATATAGCAAGAGTCATTTGCCCTTGCCAGTTATGGGATAGAAAACCATGGGGCTGTTGTCTGGCATTAGAACAGAGCACTCCCAAGGGGTGGCCCAGAGGCCCTATTCTCCCTAGGAAGGTTTCCGTGGTAGGTGCTACTACAAAGACTGCCACTAATTAGAATAATGAGTGGAAGTATTCAGAAAAATCATTATTGTCATTTATTGAACTTTTACCGTGTGCTAGGAAATTTACAAATACTATGTTATTTAATCCTCACAACTGGGAGGTATAGCATTATTATACTTTTTACTCCTGTTTTACAGATTAAATCACTAAGGTTCAGACGGCTTACATGACTTGCCCACTGTCTCAGAGCCAATAGAAGGGAAAGAACTGGACTACAAGCCCAGGCGTAGAGGTCCATTAGAAAAGAGTTTGGACTGAACACCTGAGGGCAGGTCCCACCCGCCTCTCACTACCTGTGCGCCCCTCCCCCCCCGGATCTCTAGGTCTACTCCACCTCGAAAGGGAGGATTTGGACTAGCACCGAGGCTTCCTCCTCATCCCTCCATTGCACCCCCATCCCTCTATCCTCCTTCCACTTGTCTCGCCTTGGATCCCCCTTCTGTTCCACCTCAGAATGTCCCCCTTCAGAGAGCCCTCGCACCATCTCCTCGCCTGGCACTGGCCCATCAGGGCAGCACCTCGAGGGAGGGCCTGCCACTGCCCCTTTAATTCTCCCCGGGCTTGGAATGCAAGTGAGTTGAGCTCGCCATCTCTGTGAGGTCAGATAAGATACTATATATATCGGAGTCGGTAACCTGAGCTCCGGATTACCCAGCCCCAGGCAGACTCCAGCCTCCGGGCTCTCCACCGCGCTCCCTGCCTCTCTGGGGAAGAAGCAGCCCCCAGATCCTGTCCAGTGCCCCCGGACACAGGTCAGTAGCTGCCCCTGTACTATGTGAGCTTCATGGGGCCACTGTCCAGACAGCCCAGTGTGTTTGGGGGAGCATGTGATAGGCTGCCCTACTGGGCCTGGAGGGTGCTTGGGGCAAGACGGGCGGCGAAGGCTCAGAGGAGGCAGGCAGGGGCAGCAAGGACAGAGGAAAGACAAGGCCTGGAGGAAATGGAGGAAGACTGGGACTCTCCCCTGGGGTGGGGACACCAGGAGCCCTCCCAACAGAGGTGATTAGGAAAGAGAATTTAAGGATACCAATACCGCCTGTAGGCCCATTCCTTGGCCTTTTCTTGGAAGTGCAGAGATGGCCACCCCCTTCAAATCCGAAATCCAGAAGCGTGCTATTGAGATACTACCCTGGGCCCACCCCCTACTCCACCAGTCAGGATCTCACCCTCATCTCCGGTCTCTCTCACCCCTTCCTCCCTCTCCCAGCCCTTGGGCAACTACTGGGAGCAAGAGAGACAGAGATGGACCCAAATTCTCTCGAATGGTCCCCTGCCAAGGCATGCAAGAGGATCAGGCACTAGACTGGTAGGCCGCTGGGTGCAAGCCCCTGAGAGACAGAGCTACTAATGACAGGCTGGAGGGGAGGGGGCAGACTGAGACCGCCAGGGCCTGAGAGGGGTCCGCAGAGCTCCCGGAACGTGCAAGCACAGACAGCCCCCGCCTGCGTCCTCCACCCAGCCTGCATCCACCACACCTGCCAGGACATCCCTCAGCCTAGGAGTTGATGCTTGTGCCCAGACATTGCCCAAGCAGATAGGAGTGAGGGTCAGAGAGTGTCAATGAAGGGAGACAGGGCCCCTCTCTTAGCCCTCTTTATCTTTCAAGGTCAGCACATCAGCAGTGCCTCATTCCGGGGGTGTTAGCAAGTGGCTTTGGGAAGTTCTGAGGTCACCACTGTGGAGGTTCCCAGGCACCTGGCGGGACTGGCTGGGACTCCCCACTCACCTGGCCTGGACACCTGTGTAGGAGGGAAGGACTGATCTCTGTTGAGGTGCACCTCTGAAACCCAGTGAGGGGCTTTCTATCCAGCCACAGTAGTAAGACCACAGAAGCCGGCATGCCTTCACCCCAGAAAGCAGAGTGGATGTGGGCAGAGAGGGGCCATGAAGGCTGCTGGGATGTGGGGCATTACCCATCCCCTACCCTGGGGGCCAGGAGTGCCTGAGATTCCTGGGGAGCCAGTCCCTCCCCTGGCTGGGCAGGTTAGGGAGCCCTTCATGTGAGCAACAGGAAATGACAGTTGCTGACGCACGAGGGGGGGGGGGTTGGCTGCCCCAGGGAGACAGGGCTCATTTTAACCCCTGACTCATCTAGCCTGGGGACCTTGAGGAGTGGGCCAAGCTGCAGCAAGGGTAGGAGGCTGGGGGCCATGTCCATAACCAGGCCTCGGGCCAAGAGCCCTGGCTGGCACTAAATGCCAGTGCCCAGGAAACACTCGGGAGCTCGGCGCTGCGGGTGAAATGGAGGCCTCCCGGGCCATCTCTTGGCTGATCAGAATTGTACTGGCGCTCGGGTTGCACTTGGCTTGGCTTTCATTTGCCCGCAGTGGAAACTCGAAGGGCCGCCTCCTCCGGGAGTCTGTACCTACCACACCGTGGCCTAGACAGTGGATGCCTGCGTCCTCCGGGCCCCGTGCCACAGGTCCTGCCCCGTGCCAGCTCAGGGAGAGGCCAGGGAAGTGTGAGGTGGGGGGTGCTGGCTTCAGGGTGGCTGCTAGGGAGGCAGAGCACAGGTGCCAGTCCCACGCTGCCACTGCTTGCGTGCATGACCTTGGGAAATCCACGTCACTTCCACCAACGCTGGTGTCCTCATCTGCAAGTGGGCATAAGGATGGCACCCACTGCTGAGGGCGATCGTGAGGATTAGCACATTGGTACGTGGTGTCCCAAAAGTCTTCGTGCAGTTTCAAACTTCAGGAACTTCAGAAATAGGAAAGCTAAATGCTTCATTTAAAAGTTTCTTTACTTCATTCCTTGTCTATTTGTTGAATTTCGAATAAAAATACTAACTTCGATTTAATGTAAATCATTAAACCTTCACACGATGCTTCTAAGTTTAAATTCTTTCTCCAAAAGAATTAAAACCTAAAACTGTGCGGAGGCTCTGGGGACTCCGGGCAGGAAGTGAACTTAGAGGAGCACCGGGCAGGCAGGCAGTGCTCCAGGGAAGGCTGCATGACCCGCGAGGAGCTGTGGGTGAAGCGCTCAGCATGATGCCTGGTCCGGAGGTGTTCGGTGCTGCTGGCGGGTCACAGTCGCTGGGCTCACGTGTCCTTTCAGGAAGCTGAGCACTGTGTGCAGGGAATGCAGCTGCACCTCCCAAGAGGGGGAAACTGAGCAAAGTGAGGGGGAGCTCTGGCAGAGCAGGGAAGAGCGGAGGTGCCTGGGGAAGAGATGACATGAAGGAGGAGCTTGGCAGGTGGAGTGCCCCTGCTGTCCGAGGTGGCGGGCACCTGGGGAGGAGTTGCCTAGAGCCACATGCCTATACTTGCCAGCTCTGGGTAAACAGCAAAAGGAGACGGGCAGCAGGGGCCCCAATGCCCGGCAGAGAGGGAGACGGGGGATCCCAGCCAATCGGCTCGCCTCCCACTGCCCTATGAAAGGGCCATTCAGTCCAGGCCGTTCCTGTGGCAACAAGGAGACTCAAAGCCATGTGAGTGCCTGTCCTGTCCCTGTCTTGCGCAGCAAGGCTACAGCCTGGGCCCAGCCTGCTCTCCCACCCGTGGTGTGTTCTGCGGTCTCCAGGGACAGCCATGCCAGGTAATGCCAAGGGGCACCAACCCAAGCTGTCTCAGCTCACCTGGAAGGTGTTGACACTTCTCTCAAGAGTGAAACTAGGGGTTAGGGAGGGGATAGGCATGCTAAAGGCCTCAGCCCCAGTAAGGACCCTCTGCCCAGACAGGGGAACTCTAAGCCCGGTGTCAGCACCGAAAGGCAGCTGCCAGGGAGCTCTTGGTGATGGCAGGACCCCCCAGGGCTGCCGTGGCAAGGTGGGGAGGGGGGTGGTCTGCCACTTGCCTGCCAGACTGGAGCAGACAGGGGAGCGGGGATTTAGGAGGCCTCCTGGGGGTCAAGGTGTGACTCCACCTCTAGCCCCAACCCTTCCCAAGGAATACTTGCAGGCCTTCCCAGGGCTATCTGTCCCTGTCCCTTGTACCTTGTTTGGCCCCAGCACTTCTGCGTCATTAGCGGGGCCAGGAGAGGTCACGAGTTTGGGGCACTGCCTGCAGAATACCAATTCCCTGGGAGCCTTAGTGTGGAGGAGGGGGAGTAAGAGCCATGGGGAGGAGGCATGAGCTCATGCCCGGGGTGGGCAGGCCATATCTGATTGGCTGCCCCGCGTCCCAGAGCCCAGTTCCTGAGACCTGGAGTCTCTTTTACGTTGAATTATTGATGGAGTTTCTCCAAAGTGAAATAGAGCAGGAGTCGTCCCACACCCCCATCCTGGTGCCTCTGTCTGTGTCTCCCCCGGCCTCCCTCAGCCTCCACGCTCTTTCTTCTCCATACCCCAGAAAGCCAAGCAGATGGAAGGAGAGCTGTGCTTCCCCTCTTACCCTGCACAAGGTCCCCCTCCAATTACTTTTTCCTAGAAAGTAGTGGGAGCTGTGCTGGAGGTGGAAGCGCAGTGGGCAAGGGCATGTATATGAAGATGGGGGTCCCCAGGCCAGATGGGAAACGTGTAAATGTAGACCAAGCCTTTCTGAGCCAGCCCAGACTAAAAAATGCTGCTGGTCTCTGGCAGGGTCTAGAAGTTCGGTTCTGGGACCACCTGCTGATCTCCCACGCCCTGCACGGACTGAGTTTCTGGGGCTCTCTGCCAAGTCATCAGCATTTGGGGCTTGGCACCAACTCCTCTCTGCCCGAATGGGCGGGGCTGCCAGACCGGGGCAGGCTGTGGGCTGCCCGAGCCAGTGTCTGCAGCACGGCTAGAGCCTGCCCACCGCCTGCTCATCCACACATCTCACTGAGGGATGCGAGGGAAGCCTGGCACCCTGGGCTGAGGTCAGAAGCAGGCCAGGCTGGGAGACAGCCAGCCCTGACATTATTACAGGCCTGTGAAGGAGGGGCCCAGAGTCTGGCAGGGGTTGGGGGAAGAGATGATAATCACTGTCAGAGTTGAGGACTTCCACATGTTATTATCTCATTTATTCCTCATAACCACCCTGTGAGGTGGGAACCATAATGATGATGATTATACTCATCGTACAGGTGAGGAGATTGGGGCTCGGAGGGGCTGAATGACTAGTGCAAAATCACCCAGCTAGCCAGTCATGGGGCAAGCCAAAACCAGCCCTGTACCACTACTCTGAGGTCCCTGGAGGTCCCTGCCCCGCCCCCCGCCGCAGGAGCCCCCAAGAACCCCTGAGGTCCTCAAAGAAAGGGTCCTGATCCTACTTGTTCCTCCCTGCAAAGCACCTTTGCCTGCCCCCCAGCTCCATTTTAGATGAAGCCTCACACTTAGGGTGATGGGGAGGACTCTGGTGGTCCCCAAGTGAGCCTAAACGTGATGGGGAGGGGTGAATCAAGGTCCAGTAGGAAGAGCACTGGGCTAGAAACCTGAAAGAGCTGAATTCCAATCTTGGCTCTGCTAGTTGTGACCTTGGGCAAATCAGTGTCGCTGTTCCCATCTGTACAACGGAGATGTTAAAACAGATGACTCTTGGGTGCCTGGGTGGCTCAGTCGTCAGGTCATGATCCTCAGCAAGGAGTCTGATTCCTCCTCTCCCTCGGCCCCTCCCCCTCCACTCATACTCTGTCTCTCGCTTTCTCTCTCTCTCAAATAAATAAATAATCTTAAAAAAAAAAACAAAAAACACACAGATGACTTTAGGACCCTTACAACTCCTCAGTTCAGAGATTTCTGTGTGCCTTCACCAGACCCACCCCAGCGGCAGCCGCGGGGTGAAGGGACAGGGAGTACTGCCTGTAGTGAAGGATTTTAGCCTCTAGGGGGCCCCCTTTGCACAAGTGATCACCATGAGCTGGTTGACTTGGATGTTGGTAGAGGAACCCCTGGGAGGTCACAGGACCCCAACTCCACATAGAACACGTGAGTTAGATCCATAAAGAGGGTAGTTTCTGTCACACGAAGATTCCCCACCACAGCAGGTGACCCGCGTCCAGGGAAGAACTGTGGGATTAGATCTGGAGACTGAGGTCAAGTCCACTTTCTACCACATGCTCACTCACCACCGCCTCTCCTAGCCCCCACTGCTTCCTCTCCTGAGCCTCTTTTTCCTCACCAGGGATCTGACCAAATGATCCTCGGGCCATTCCAGCTCAGACAATGTATGATTCCAAAAAGATTCCTGCCCCTCCTTTCAGCAGAAAGAATTAAGACTTAATTCTTAAAATGTCCAGCATTTTCAATCCAGGGATTGAGGGCGGTAGCACCTCCCCTGAAAGCTGAAGAGAGGAAGCAGACGAGACCTGGGCTAGAATACTATGGGTCACCTGGAGGGCTGCTGAGGGAGGGCAGCCCCCACTCTCATGTCTGGGGCTTTGCAAGGGAGCACTCGGAGCAGCCTGATGACTGACGGCCCTGTGTGGTTTGTAAAAGCCGGCTCACGTCTTGTGCTCTCACTCAGGTGTGAATACACGGGTGCGTGTGTGTGTACCCACGTGCACAGGTGTGTTTCTCAGCAGTGGGCCAGCCTCTCGTGGAAATGGACCGTGTGGTCACTGGGTGAGATCTATGGTCCCGGCCAGCTGGGGATGAAGAGCACATATGAGGGCGCCTGAAAGTGGCAGGGCCCTCTGACAACTGCTTTCCTTGCCTTTCAGCCCATGAGGCTCCCAGTCCCCACTGAGTGCTGCCCTGAAGGATGTCCCAGCTCTCCTCCACCCTGAAGCGCTACACAGAATCGGCCCGCTATACAGAGGCCCCTTATGCCAAATCGGGCTATGGCACCTACACTCCCTCTTCCTACGGGGCCAACCTGGCTGCCTCCTTCCTGGAGAAGGAGAAGCTTGGTTTTAAGCCAGGCCCCCCAACCAGCTTCCTCACCCGTCCCCGTACCTATGGTCCCTCCTCCATCATGGACTATGACAGGGGCCGCCCCCTGTTGAGAACTGACATCATCGGGGGCGGTAAGCGGGCCGAGAGTCAGACTCGGGGCACTGAGCGGCTTTCAGGGAGTGGACTCAGCGGGGGCAGCGGATTCCCTTATGGAGTGACCAACAACTCCCTCAGCTACCTGCCTGTGACTGCCCGCGAGCAGGGCGGAACCCTAACCCAAAAGAAGTCGAACAGTCAATCAGACCTGGCCCGGGATTTCTCCAGCCTCCGGACCTCAGATAGCTACCGGATCGACCCTGGGAACCTGGGCCGCAGCCCCCTGCTGGCCCGCACGCGCAAGGAGCTGTGTGCCCTGCAGGGGCTCTACCAGGCAGCCAGCCACTCGGAGTACCTGGCCGACTACCTGGAGAACTATGGCCGAAAGGGCAGTGCGCCTCAGGTGCCCATGCAGGCCCCTCCCTCACGAGTCCCCGAAGTCCTCAGCCCCACCTACCGACCCAGTGGCCGTTACAGTCTGTGGGAGAAGAGCAAGGGCCAGGCCCCTGGGTCCAGCCACTCCAGCTCCCCAGGGCGAGAGACCATGGTGAGTTTGCCCCTTGGGGACCCGGTGATGGGCTGGGGAGGCAGCAGATGATGTAGAAGACCCAGATTGAGGGAAGGACTCCCCATCTGACTGATGATCAAAGGCAAAGGTCTCCTTCCCAGACCTCATGACAGCTGCTCCTGCAGCCCGAGCCCGAGAGGTCATCTCAGCATGTCTGGTACACTTGCGGCTCGGTGCCTTGCTCAGGGGCCTTCCCACTCTCCCTAGGAAACCCATTTCACGACCCATGCACTGGACGCCGATCCAGCAGTGCTCCCGGAAATGCTCGGCTACCCCCACATACACTGCAGTGCTCACCCTCCGCTTTGCCACCCAGCATGCCAGGGTCCCCCGCAGGCCCTGCACCATCCTGGACTGAATGCTGAGGCCCCCAAACCACCAGTGCTCCCTGTGGTAAGAGAGGCCTCCCTGCTCTGGCTGCATCTCTCCTCCTGCTCGGGCTTTTACTTCCCAGCCTGGGGACCTGGCTTACCGTTCGGGCATAAGACATCAGGGGGAGAGGGACTCCCTTCTGATGGGCACCAGTCCCGGCTCAGGACCAGGATATCTGGACGGCAGTGCTTTTCATGTGTCTTGGGAGAAAATGCTGGAGACATTTTTGTCTAAGGCTTTAGACAATCCCATACCTCTGTATGCCCGTCCTGCCTGGACTAGAATGAGGGAAGAGGCTCTGCCAGGGACAGTAAGGGCTGACTTGCTTCTAATCCGTGAACACACCTCTCTGGGGCACTGACTACATTCTGCCTTTTATTAGTGTACCCATCGGGTGGCAAGATCTCAGAGGATAAGAAAGAAATCACATACATCTCTAGATGCCTCCCCATGTGCCTAGCACCGCGCAGAGTTCAGCTAACCTACTGATTGCACGGATGGGTGGGTGGATGGATGGATAGGTGGATGGATGGATAGGTGGGTGGGTGGATGGATGGATGGATGGATGGATGGTTGAATGGTTGGATGGATGGATGGATGGATGGATGGATGGATGGATGGGTGGGTGGGTGGGTGGGTGGATGGATGGATGGATGGATGGATGGGCGGGCAGATAAACAAGCCAATGGGCAGGACAGCTGGGTGTTGTGTTTCCTTCATTACCTTATGTACCAGTCCCCTACTTCTAGGACAGGTGCCTTTTGGAAATAATAGCTGTGCCACAGCAAGAAATAAATGCTGCTTAGTGGGCTTGTCCAGATAAATGGAGCAGGGGTGCAAGATAGGCACAGGGCTTTGGGTCATAGACCTTTAAGCTTGTCATAACTAAAGGGCTTGAGGGGACAACTTTGATAACATTACTTAGAGAGTCTTGGCCTTGCTGGGCTGTCTGTGAAGGGCCATGGTGACACAAAAGTTGGTATCTCCCAGAGCATTCAGAACCTGACAGGGCATGGCCGGCTACGTTGGAGGGCTGGTGTGGAAGACAAGTGGGGGACAAGAGACCTGGCCTGGGAGAAGTATGTACTCTCAGAGGGACATGTGGTTGGACTGGAGCATGATTCACTTAGATGTGTCTGGTGTGGCTCATCTCGGCGCAATCAGAAAGCAGCTCTTAGTGGATGGGCCCTAAAGGACTCTGGGAGGCTCCCTCCCTTTGCTCAGAAGAGAAAGGTTCTTTACGGTACACAGTGTTCCTCAAAGTGAAGTCTGCAGGAATTACCTGCAGGGCTTAATCATTCAGGGGCCTGGGCCCCACCCAGATCCCCTGAATCAAACTCTCCAGGAATACGCCTGGGAATCTGTCCTTCTTATAAGCTCTTCAGGTAACCTTTAAGCATGCTCAGGTTTGAAAACCTGCTCTCCACAGACTAAACTGCAGACCCACGCTCAGCCCCAGTCATGAGAGCAGGGTCTTCTCCTTTATGGGGGGTCAAACTCCATTGGCACTCTGCCTCTTTCTCACACAGACGTATCTCAACCCTCCCTCCCTGGAGTCTGCTGCCTTCCCCCCTCTCCCGCACAGGAGACACCTCAGCCCCTCCTCTACCTCCAGGGCCAGATGAGGAGAGTTTTGAGAGAGGACCTCAGAGGGGTGGCAGATTGCCCTGGGACAAACTCAGCCACCCTAACATCCCTCCTGCCCATCCAGAAATAGCTCACAGCACACTTAAGTAGCTAGGAACACCCTAGAGTGCAGCTAGTGTCTCACCCTAAGCTCACACTCAAGAAGACCCTGCCAATGGGCAGGGCCCCTCATGGGTCAGACCCTGATACAGCCTCACCCCACTCCTCACTGTTCTCAGCCTTACTTCCTGCTGCCGACTCCATCTCCTGAGGTGAGAACAATCCTGCCCGTGGGGCCTGCACTTCTTTCTAAAAGTGGGTCCAGTGTCTTTTCAGATCTCCATTTGGGGTTCTAAACTTCACATTCATTTTGGGGCTCAGTTTACCAGCAGTGCCACCTCAGAGAAGTTGCTTAACTTCTGAACCTGTTTCCTCGATAAAATGAGAGTGTCCATAGTTCCCACTTCATAGGTCATTGTGAGGAATCAAAGGTTGTACGGCACATAGTAGGTGCTCGATAAATGTTAGTCCTCCTTGTACCCTTCTAGGTGCTTTTGGGGTGGCAAGAAAGATGCAAGCCATGGTCCCTGCCCTCCGTGCACTCACAATTTACCTGGGGAAATAAGTTCTTACAACAGTTGCAATAGGAGGCAGCCCCAGGTGTCATTAAGTGTCATAGGTGGTGGGAAAGGGAGGGGTCACCTGAGGCTGGAAGGAACAGTTTGCCTCTTTAACCTTAGACACCTCTCATCTGAGCTCTGTTTCCTCATCCATAAAAGGGATGGGTCGTACCTGCCCTGCCTACCTCACAGGCTGTCATGAGGCTCAAAGCAAACAGTGGACGTGAAGGAATCTGAAACCTATAAAATGCTATGGAAGAGTTGGTAGAAAAGGAGAAGACAGAAAAGGGGCATTTGGCAGCTGAGTGGAGCGGGGAGGGGACCACCCTTGTATCATGTGGCAGGGTCCAGTGTGATCTGACTCCTCTGGGGTCCCCTGGGGTGGCCCTGGCCCCAGGGGCTCTCCGGGTAGCCGACTTGAACTACAGTTGACATTCACAAAGGAAAGTCCTTTGTGAGGCCCCAAACAGGGAGAACAGTTCTAACCAGGCCTATTCCCCTCATTTATAGTTAACAGCCAACATGAACTTAGAATATTACAGACTCAGCTGAGCGTAAGTAAAGGACTGTTACAGGGGGACGTGAATTCTGAAAACCCTCCCATGCTTGCATAAGCACCAACAAAACACCAGTCTATGGGGGGGTGCAGCTCAGCCTAGGATAATGAGAGCTGCCCCAGGCTCCACCTTCTGTTTAAAATGCAGACAGATTGAAGGGGAGGGACTGATAGTTCAAAACTGGCAAAAAAAAAAAAGAAAGAAAGAAAATAGCTTTCACTACCCGCCCCCCCCCATCCATCACCTGTGGGGACTCCAAGCCAGGCCAGGTGGGTTGGCCCTGCGGAAAGCCAGGAGCCCAAGCACCCAGCACGGTTATGGCCCCCCTCCGCCCCACCTGTCCTGTCCCCTGGGCCTATGGAAGGACAAGCTGTTCCCACTGAGCCCTGCCAGGGCTGTGCTTTAAGCCCTACAGTCCATCCTAATCCTCCTGCGCTCCACCCCTCCAACTGCTCCCTCCCCAGCCCTGGCATTCTGCCCGCAGCCTCAGCCCTGCCCTCACACTGCCCCTGCCCTGCCCTGCCCAGGCCACCCTCTGCTCTCCCCCAAGAAACGCTGCGGTTGGCCCAGGGCCCTCCAGAGCACAGTCATCAGGCCGAGAACCTGCTGCTCAGACGCAGAACCAGGGAGTGAGGCTCAGAGCCTGCCGGCCTATTCTCCTCACGCAGCCTCTTCCAAACCCTTGCCCTCTGCTCTGAAACCTGTTGCTGGGAGCAAAAGGTCTGGGAACCTAGAGTACCTGGGTCCTATTTGCCAAGGGGCTGCTGACTCATCTCCCGAAGCCTTGGGTTCCCAGCTGTTCAGTGACAGGGAGATTATATAAGCGGAGGTCATGTGATTTTACTCTTGGGTGGGACTTTGAACTTCACTGCTGCCTTGCAGTGAGCAGGGGTTACTCCAAAGAGAACAAGTCGAAGGCGGCAGGAACTGTCCTAGAGGTCCCAGGTGAGAAATGGAGAAGTGTGACCTTCCTCTGTCCTCCCCTGCCTTCTCAGTCTGTTCATTCAGCCACGCTGACGTGCATCCCCGCTGTCTTGGTTGTCCAGCTTAGCAGCCTGAGACCCTGGGGATGCCCTCCCCCACTCAGGGGCCCTGAGGAAGCTGAACTTCCTGAGGGCCTGAATCTCTGTTGACAGCATGGGAAGGTCGCTCAGAGGAGACCTTAAGCCAAAGGGTCCCTTGGCCGGGACCAGTACTAGCTGCTGAGAAAGGACAGGAGGTCTGGGCTTGTGTTTAGAGTCAGCAAGGCACCCATGGTCTCCATCCCTTGAAGACAGGCCGTGTGCTGTGACCTGGTTGGGGGCCCCAGTGCTGCCTTACCTGGGTGCAGGTGCTCAGTCCACGCCCAGCATTGTCCTCCCTGCCTTCTCCTCCACCCCCGCTCCAGGATGTCTTCATGAGGTAACATGGTGCTGGGGTGGGGCTCAGCGATGGAGAAGTCAATCCAAGCCTGGCAAAATGTTCCCTGCCCGCGGGGGAGCCGCTCCACTGACCAGCAGCTACAGAAATGAACATCATGTTCAGGGCCTGAGCTGCACACGTGGCCCCCTGCACCCTCTCACCTCAATTGATAGGTAAAACTGGCACCCACACAGAAATAAAAGCAAGAGAGGGAAGTGGGTGGGCCTCTGGAATCCAGCCGGTTCAGGCCAGCCTGCCCTAGGGCTCAAAAGAATACAGAGATTTTGGCCTCCCGGGGTTGGAGTGATGCAGGGAAGCAGAGAGCCCTCTGTCCCCAGGGGCACTTGTGGCCTGAAAGCCCAACCCCCAACAAGGACTCTGAGCCCCTACCAGTTCAATCAGT